AGTTAGTATGATATTAATAGTTTACTTATAAGAACGATATTACATAAGTAGGACTGTGAAACGATTAATCATGATTAATCACATCCAAAATAAAAGTTTGTGTTTACATACAGTATGTGTGTGTAGTGTGTATAATTATATTGGATATATAAATACACACACATGCATGTGTATATTTAAGAAAAATGTGTTATTAATATATCAAATATTTATATTTATGTATAATGCTAGTTTTGTATATATAAAGTATATACATGCAAATATTTCTTAAATACATACATGCATGTGTGCATATTTATATATACAAAATAATTATACACACTATACACACACATATATTATGTAAACACAAACTTTTATTTTGGATGCGATTAATCGCGATTAATTGTTTTACAGCCCTACGCCACTAAGTCAAAGTGGAATCCACATTGTAATTATATTTAATTCATTGAATTTGTACTGAACTATCTGATCAGCTGTTAAGTCAAGTACATTTTAACTAGATATTTCAATGAAAAAAAAAATGAAATAAAACAAAATAAAATGAAATAATAATAAAAAATATTTCCCAAAATGTTTCCCAAAAAATAAGTCAACAGCACTTATTTTTCTCGCAAGCAGAGAGAGAACAGCTAACAGTGAGAAATTTAGATCACTTAAGCTGATTTGTAATTGAAGACATTTATTGCTATATAATTACAATTTGCCTCCCTATAAAGTATAGTATGTCATTGCACAAAATCACCAAAAAGATTCTAGTTGTCATTTAAGAATGCATATTCAGTGCAAAACATGATTTCTTTTTCTGATGGACTGCACATCTTTCGTTCAGCTAACAGTATCATCAGGCAGTGACAATCAATACAATAATACATTTTAGTCCTTTGCAGCAACTATAGACCAATAAAGCAAGCTTTTAGATGTTTACTAATGCACATTTTCCTTCGTCTCAGGTCAGTGGATTGAAAGAAGGCATGCCTCTCAGTCTGTCGCTCTAGTGTGGATCTATACATTGTTCTGGGCCTCACTTCCGGCATTTGGGTTTGGTAGTTATGGCCCGGAACCGTTTGGAACCAGCTGCACCATAAACTGGTAATGAACCATTAGTAACTGTAAAGGGGTTGCCAATTTACAATTGACCTATTCCCCAGTGATCTGTTGGGGTTTTCAGAATGCATTCTCAAGGGCTTTCAAAAGACTTTCACAGCTGAAAGTTATTTTACCCACAAACCAGAACATGTGTGTTGATGTGTTCATGCACTGCTTCCTTTGGCCTCAGGTGGAGGATGAAGTCTTCACTCAATGATAGAGTCTATATTTTCCTGATCCTGTCGCTCTGCTTCGGAGTTCCCACCCTCACTATCATCGCTTCATACCTTGCTATCCTCATCAGGGTGAGATAAACAGAGAAATTATCAGTATTACTATGGATTCTAAAACACTTACTTGAAGCTAAGATAATTTGACCTCATTCTGATATAAAAATGTTATGTTTAGTTGACAGTTAACTGCCGATGTTGACTGAAGAACCATTAAGGTGAATTGAAGTGTTGCTACAGTGTTGTGTGATTTCAGGTGTATCGGTCTGGCCGCTTGTTGGCTTCAATCCCTTCATCAAATGTCACTCACAGCAGTAAAGATCTTCGGCTGACAAAGGTACTAGGTCTAACTGATCACCCAGAATACCTTTGGAGGGACCCACTTCTTAGACATAACTATTTAACATTACTATTTAAGGAGTGGGCGATTTTTTAAGAATCCATACTATTTGATTTGAATGAAAACATACATTTTTGAGGAAAAAAAGTAATTATGAAAGTCCACCCCTAAACCTAAACCTTTGTGGTGTGTAAGCAGGTCGTACAAACATGTATGAGTGATATTGTACGGATTCATATGAATTCCAATCCCCACCAATTCGGCAAAACGTATAGGGGCCGAATAGTATGACATGGAAGCGTATTGGTGGTTATTGTTCACAAATAAAATAAAATAAAATAAAATAAAATAAAATAAAATAAAATAAAATAAAATAAAATTAAATTAAATTAAATTAAATTAAAATTAAAATTACTGTAAATCCAATGGAACTAAATTAAAAAAAAGAAGAAAAAAAAGTTTTGGTATACCTTGACTGCCTGCTTGCTTTAAAGTTGGTAGGAAATTAGAAGTTGTGATGATCTAAATTACAATAACAGTAAACTAAACTGAGAATTTTAACATTTTTATGATACCATTTAGCACAACTTTGACAGCCTTAAAACACTAAAAGATAAATAAAAACATAAAAGGGACAAAAAACAAAATAAATTCAAAGTACTATCTTCAAATAAATAAACTATAAATGGCCCTGCTGATTTCATAGGGGACCTTATTGGCCCCATTTATCACACAGGTCTGTACAATGGATGTCTCCCCCAAGTCTGGCCCTTATTTTACAGTACTTCCACATTTCTATTCAAATTTCTCTTTTTCATGATTCACACACAATTTCACATTTCCAGCTGAAACTTTCCGTTGCAGATAGCAGCAGTGGTGTGTTCCTCATTTCTGATCGCCTGGACTCCCTATGCGATTGTTTCACTGTACTCGGCTTTGACTGCCAGAGAAGAGCACCTCATGGAAGCTGGAGGTACGGCTGTCCCGGGAGGAATATCAGGAACAGCCGTCGGCCATGACGGAGGGATCTCTGACGTCTTCGGGTTTCCCTTCCTCGTTAACTGGACCTCTTCTGAAAACTTCGGAGATGCTTTTGGTACCTGGAGGAACATGACTTCAGATCATTCCCATTCAGTAGGGCATCATGGATCCAGTTCAGCTGTGGATTCTGCACATGGAGGAATGGGGGAACACCGGCCACATCTTGTGTCCATCCTGAAGCCAGAGGTCACGCTCATCCCTGCTATGTTTGCCAAATCCCACTGCATGATAAACCCCTTCATCTACCAGATCATGAACCGCGACTTCAGGGAGGACGTCTATGATCTCCTGTGCTTGAGAGGAAAAGATGGAGAGAGAAGGAGAGCAAGGAGCACAGATGGAAGTGATTCTGAAGGTCAGGAGCTAATGATTAGTGCCATTAGATATTTCTATTGAATTCTATCTATCTATCTATCTATCTATCTATCTATCTATCTATCTATCTATCTATCTATCTATCTATCTATCTATCTATCTATCTATCTATCTATCTATCTATCTATCTATCTATCTATCTATCCATCCATCCATCCATCCATCCATCCATCCATCCATCCATCCATCCATCCATCCATCCTCCATCCATCCATCCATCCATCCATCCATCCATCCATCCATCCATCCATCCATCCATCCATCCATCCATCCATCCATCCATCCATCTATTTATCTGTCTGTTTATACATTTCTATTCTGTATTTTTCTCACATTTCTGTTTCTATTTCTGTATTTTCCACACTTGCAGGTCATCGTGGAAGCATCACTCTCTCTTACATTCACAGCTGGAGAAGAAGAAGTACACCTACAAGCCAGCCATCTGAGCGTGTGAAAAAAGATTCCTCTCGGAAGAGTAGAGGGAAGAGAGGGTCCTGTCAGGACAATGCATCAGTCGGGTGGGCATCCTTGGACACTACAAACTTAGATACGCAGGTCAACTTAGAAAGAGAGAGAGGGACCCAGGTGGAAGGAGAGATGAAAAATGATTTAGAGAATCCACCTCTAGCAGCTTGTTGATTAGGCAAGGAGTGATGCCAGGATATATCTAAGACGTAAACAGTAGTTCTTAATGCAGTTAGTTAGCTCAAAGTATATGTTTAGTTAAAATATAGTTTTTTTTAAATAACAATTTTACACACTAATGCACTCATGCAGTTTCACATTGGTTCTTTGACACATGAAGCTCTAGTAATTTTCATATTTTGTCCTTTGTTTGATATTGAATCCAATGTATTTATTTATTTATAGATCTTTTGTGAAAACAAATGTTTTATGTATTTACATATTGTATTTAAGTTTTTATATTGGCTTGTTAGAGAGCACTATCCAATCCAAAGTATTGCAAAATACTATTTTTGAATAAATGTGAAATGTAAATAAAATGTACAACAATGAAAAGACAATGATATGTTTATTTTGTAGTTTGCAAATGAAAAATACATAAATCAGATTTGTGACGTCAGCATTGCTTTGTTAATATGATGAATGAGGTAATATGTTTTTACCGTAAGTGCCCCTCTAGGGCAAACACAGGAGGGGAATAGCATACAGACAGCAGTTAGTCGCATTCGAACTGTGATATATTATACATAAATATACGTTTTCGTATTTCATCTACTAAATATTATTTTGCGGCTCTGGAATATTCAAGTAAACAGACAAGAGGGGTCAGCTACTGCTGATGTTACGGTAATCCGCACTGAAGCGCTGCAGAGACTCGACCACTCAAGTGTATTCAGGTTTCCAGGCAGGGAAGCCACAAGACATTCGTTTGGATCTATTTTAAATTTATTTCGCTAACGTTTTTTTGTACAATATACTTTGCTTGTTAGAATATAGCTATTGCGTGCTGCTGTAATTACTCCACATGATTGGCTTTTATCGCTTGCTGCAGTGAGAGTCGCGTCATCTCCATCAGCTAACGTTATTCATCCTTACTCAGCATTCACGCGCAAGCTGTAATACTCTTATCTCGTTACATAAGGCTTTAACGAGTTAAATGTGGACATCGCCGTGTCACTGGGTCGCTAAACACTATTAACCTGTGAAATCAAGCCGTTAATTGTTTTGACGTCAGACTTTTGGAGTCAGACATAGCTAGTGTTCATGCCCGATCTGCAGCGCTTCAGTTTTCCGTACCGTAGCATGAATTCTCCTCTCCATCATCATCATCAGCAACAGCAGCAGCATCAGCATCAGAATCCAGAAGGACCCGGTCATCCCGATTCTCCCTCCGGTTTACTCCCCGAGGCTGCTGTCCTCGGTGCATCTGACACATCCTCTTTTTTCCTCGAAGATCAGCACGGCCCGTCTGGCGTCTCCCAAACCGCATTTGACCTTACTGCATCCTCTTACCTGCACTTCAGTCCATCCTTCCACTGGTCCCAACCTCCTCCACCAACAGCCATGGCACTAAGGAACGACCTGGGATCAAATATAAGCGTCCTGAAGACCCTCAATCTGCGGTTCCGATGCTTTCTGGCTAAAGTGCATGAACTGGAGAGACGCAATAAGATATTGGAGTTACAGCTTCAGCAGGCTTTAAACAGCAATAATGCGGGTGGATGCGTGGAAGACCGAAAGACCAAAGACATTGGTGTCCAGACTGGGTTTATTGGGCCTATTGCTGTCCGGCCTGGGTCTCTGTCCTTCCAAAACACCAACAACTCTGCCAAAAGACCCACTACATTGTTTATGCCTCCTCTTACGACTGTCCTCAAACTTGAGCCCAATAAAGCTGACGATGAGACCACGACTGACCCAAACACCAACAGAAACCCAACCATCACGGTTAGTCTGTCAACACCCACCACCGAACCCGCTTCGGCCAACACCAATAACTCTAATAATACTCCACAAGTGAGCAGCGTTGGCATCGGGACGTCTCCCAATCCTCCTCCTCGCTTCCTCCCGGGCACTATCTGGTCCTACAACCACACTCGTAAACTGGGAAGCGGGTCAGAGACTCGGGTCACTAGCCCTGGAGTATCGTGGGTCCACCCGGACGGCGTGGGTGTCCAGATAGACACCATCACCCCAGAGATCCGAGCACTTTACAACGTCCTGGCCAAAATCAAAAGGGAGAGGGATGAGTACAAGCGAAGGTGAACATAGAGATAATATAGATGCTTATTATGGCTGAATGTTTGGTTATGAGAAAAAGTTTTTTGTGTGTGGCCCTTATGACAAACCTCTGCTGCAAAGTCTTTTTTTTAGGAGTGTAGAGTCGTGATGGCTTTGAGGCATGGTTGCCAATTTGAATGACCTCTGGGGATCTAGAAACCATTTTTTTCTTCATATTTTGTGCTGCTAACTTTAAATACCAAACAGTTTGGCAACAGTTATTTAGATACTATTTACACTAGGCTAAGGGAAAATAGCTAAAAATGATATTTACACCAAAAAATAGCACATTAAGTGTAAATAGTAGTTAGACGCTATTCATACTTATAAATAGTGGCAGATATTTGCACCTGTGTAGTAGCCTACATTAAACAATATGCAATAATAACAAAGAGTGTAAATGTTTATATTTATTAAATTTATAAAATGGATGCATCTTATTGGCACAATAAAGTCCTCCCTACTTCCACCCCTAACCATAACCGCCTATAAACACGTTAATATTAAACACACGTTAGACACTTTTTGAATATTTTCTTCAGGTAACACTTTATTTTAAGCTGATGTAGTTACACGTTACTACATAACAGTAAATTATGCATAATTACAAGTAACTAACCCTAAACCAAACCCTAACCATAACTCTGTAGTAAGTGCATGTAGTTATTTAATATTGCTCAGTACTTATTTGAGTATTATGAAGAGTAACCATTCTTAATTTTTATCGAAAATAAATGCTTTTCCGATCTGATATGCAATGGGAAAAGGGAGTAGAGCGAGTTCGGCAAAGGCGGCTACGAACTCTGATCGAATTTCATCAAAACATTATGCCACGCACCTTACTCCCTACTGTTGACAATCCAGCGTCTTCCGTAATTTTATTTGGCCCAACCAGACATCAGTGGGCGGAGTTAGTGTAAATAGCCTCTGCGAATTGAGTGCCGAAGTTATGATGTCACTTTGTAGGCCAAAACACAGAAGTGAGTAAGCATTTTAGCACTTCTGGTTCCCTCGCCCTAAAGTCTATGGGTTTTTTGAATGGGTTTTTGCTAAATCGCCTGAAATAAGGTCTGTGGTTAACAAAGCCTCTAAATATTTTCACGTTTTCATCTATGACATAAACACACCAGTTATAACCTGCTTGTGGTTTTTTAAACTTTATTGTGTCTGCTTGTGTTTCTTTAAAACTTTATATAGGCTTCAAAATATATACATTTTGGATTAACTTGTAAAGATTATCTTGATAGTCAAAACGTGTAAGGGTCACAACTCTTTGTTGAACACAGATCTTATTTTTTGCCATTTTCCAAAAGTCTATGGGAATAATGCATAGCTTTTCGATCGAGGGAACCCATGCGCCGCTAACTTCCGAGTTGTCCTACAAAGTAACATCATCACTTTGGCACTCTATAAGGTGGGCCATTTGCACTTAGTGTAAATAGAATCTCCTTTTAAAGTTCAAGAAATAATAACATTTGACTTTGATAAAATTGACTAATTTGCGATGAAAATGTATTAAATTAGAAAAATGCAAAATAGAAGTATTTTGACTTTTGAACTCCATTGTATTGTTCTTGTTCACTGGGGTATTTCAGCATGTTCCAATGTCCTGCCGTTCTGGTGCTGAGGGGAACCTGACTGGCATTGACCTCTGATAACCTGTGCATCAGTCACGCACAAACCTTGTTCAGTGCAGAGCAGACTGCAGTCACATTGCTCTTCCTGCATGATGTGGTTACTTTTCAAACCTGAAAACTCTCGAACCTGCTGGTGTTCAAAACCACAACAAAAAACTAGCCATCCTGCAAGTGGAATTTGTTAAAAAATAAATAAAACGAGACCGAGTTGTGACTTGCAACTTTTGTGAGATAAAATAGAGCATAAATCATCTGCTGGCAGTCATGTGCAGAGACATGAAGTAGACATATCTCAATGTCCTAATCTCTCACGACTGCTGAAGTTATTTGAATCAATCTGAGATTATTGAATGGAGTTTTGCAAAATGTATGGGATAAATTTAATCTGTGGATAAAGGTGATATGAGGTGGTATTTAGGATGGGTGGAGGAGATAAATGAAATTTAAAAGGGACCCTTACTGTACCAAAGGGTTTTGTTAGTTGCCAAGCTAGAGTTGAACATGAGAATTAAAAGGAAGGAAGATAATATGTGCAGTATGTAGAAGATAAGAATCAGCTGGAGGGGAAATAATGTGTGTTACTCATAAACGGTGGTTTTCAGTCAGGCCCACGGGACTTTTTATGTCCAAACCTGCAGAAGCCAGAGCGCCGCATTCCACCTGTCATTCACATACAGCAGTTTTATATATAGGGCTGAACTGACCGTCAGATCGCAAAATCATTACCGTGTGTTGACTCATCAGGACAGGTGAAAACACTGTTGAAAAGCACAAAATGCAGATGTTATCGTTCAGTGTCTCTCTGTTTGGCTTTGTCATTTGCTCTTTTAATGCTTTCAGCTCTTTTCAGACTTTCTTGTCTATATATATTTATTTCCTGCTTTGTCTTTCTAATTTAGTAAGCAGACTTTCGCTGTCGAAAGTGTTTTTTATCTCATTTGTTTTGGTTTATTTATTAACCATAATTTCAATCAAGCCTATTCAAAATCGGATACTATGAAAATCTAGTTAAAATAATCAAGTTTCAAGTCATATTTTCCACATTGGTTTATCCATTCAAATGTTTGGGGTCGGTAAGGCTGTTTGATGATTTCAAAGTCTCAGTGAGGCTTGATAAAAAATAGAGTAAAACAGTAGTTTTAGAAGCCAAAAAGCGCATCCATCCATCCATCATAAATGTAATCTATACGGCTTAAGGGGTCATTAAAGGCCTTCTGCAGCGAAGCAATGTGTTTTTGTTAGAAATATATCCATATTTATAACTTTTATAAACTAGAATCACTGGCTTCCGGTAATGGCCGTTGGCGAAGTCTAGTTCCGGCTGAAGTGGGACCTCTGACCCGGCGCATGATGTATTGATGAATGCGGAAGCAGAGAGAAAAGAGCAAAACAAAACACCGGTCACAAATTAAAGTCTAAAACAAGAATTTTGCAGCTTGAGTTTGTTGGCCAGCCCTGTTTGTTTGAACCGGTATAGGCGTCTATACTCTCACCTAAGCTATTTCTACATCCTATGTCATGTGCCGGGTCAGAGATCACTCCTCCATCAGAACTAGACTTGCCTACAGCCATTACTGAAAGCCATTAATTATAGTTTAGAAAGTTATAAATATGGATATTTTTCTTACATTAACGCATTGCTTCACTTCAGTAGGC